GAAGGACACCTCTTCTAGGGTCTTTTGAGTCTTTTTTTTAATGCATATAGAGTTGGGGTACAGGTCAGAGGTGCAGGGGCAGTGAGAGGATTCACCAGAGACAGAGTGGGTGGGGAGCAGAACAGGCCGACTAAGGAAGTACATGGCTGAGGGGAGCAGCGGGTGGGTCAGGAGAGGTCTGCCACGCCATATGGGTCACCTCTGGGGCTGGGGTCGAACTCATGCCGAAGTGGGTTTAGCTTCTTAGTGTTGTGCTTTAACCCCCTGCGCCACCAGGGAGGGCCCTATTTTGAGTCTTTCAATGTCTTGGTTTGCTCCTGTGTCTTTCATTTTAGTATTGAATAACATTCCATTGTCTATAATAAACAGCTTTATATATATATCTGTTGGACAATGTCTTGTTTGCATCCAAATTTCAGCAATGATGTATAAAGCTGCTACAAATATCTATGAACAGGGTTTTGTAGGGACATAAATTTTCCAATCATTTATGTAAACTCCAAGGGTGGGGTTGTTGGTTTGGGTGGTAAGGGTATGTAGGTTTTGTAAGAAGTTGCCAAACTATGTTCCCAAGGAGCTGGACCACTTTTGCAGTGTTATCAGCAATAAATATGCGACTTTATTTCCCCACATTCTCCTGAGTATTTCCTGGGGTCAGTGTTCTGAATTTTGGCCATCCTAATAGATAGGGAATATCTCATTTTGGCTTGCAATTCCCTGGTGACAGAGAAGAATTTTTTTTCAAGTGATTGTAAAGTTATCTCTCAACATTTTACAGACAAGCCTTCTCCCATTTCATACATTAAATTGAGTTTAAACAGTTATTTTCTTAAATAATGCACACAAATACACACATCTTCCTCCTCCCTACTTCTTTTTTTCTAAATCAAACATTCCAGCACCTGTTATATGCCTCATACTCTCTAGACTACTAGATAGTATGCCAGTGACTGAAACAGAATCACCTCTGCTTTTATGAAGTTTAAATTCTAGGGGTCCAGGTAGAAAACAAAACAAAAACCTGATGTCTATCAATGTCAGTAAAGGTGATTTCTAAGCAAAACTTAGGCAAGAGAAAGAGCTTATGTCCACTGATTAGAGGAAAGGCATTTCATAAGCTGGTCAGAGGGACTCAGATAGACAGGAGATGTGAGCAAAGACTGAGGTATGATGGAGGCAGTGGGTTAGACTTGGAACTGAAAATACCTTTAACTTTTTCCATTAAATAATTATTAATCCTTTCCAATTTTGGCGAAACGATCCATTGAAATGCTACCTCTAACTTCTCCTTCTGATCAACCATTGCAAAATGTCCTTGATTCTTGATGAAGCAGTAACAATTATACTTCTATTTAAATTTGAACCCTTTGTTAATGACCTTCCAATTGTCTGTGTCAAAATGGAAAGTGCGGATAAGCACTCAGGTGCACATTGAAATGTGGTGATTCTTGTAAGAGAAAGTCCAGGCAAGACTGATTTGCAAGTTAAACCAGCATTGCAAAAGAATGAATGTATTTACTGCTTTCTCAAAAATGCAACTAACCCTTTTTCAACTTAATTTATTTTATCATGGAAAGAACACTGGCACGAATCTAACCTCTTGACAAATCTTTAAGTGCACAGCACAGTATTGGCAAATACAGGTGCAGTGTTCCACAGCATTCTCTACTGCTTATTGCATCTTGCTTGACCAAAACTTTATGCTTGTTGATTAGTAATTCCCGTTTTCCTTTTCGCCCAACCTCTGGCAACCACCATTCTGTACTTTGAATTTGGCTGTTTTCTATACCTCATGCAAGTAAAAACATGTTTGTTTGCCTTTCCACAACTGGCTTATTTCACTTAACATAATAGCCTTAAGGTTCATCCATGTTGCTGCAAAAATTTAAAATAGAAGTACCATATAATTCAGGAATACCAGTTCTAGCTATGTATCCAAAAGAATCGAGATCAAAGTCTTAAAGAGATATTAGAGTACCTAGTTTCACTGAAGTACTATTAGCAAAAGTCAGGAGGTAGAAAGAAACCAAATGTCATTAACACATGGCTGGTAAAGAAACTATGTAGACATACAATGGAGAATTCTTTAGCCTTTCAAAAGAAGAAAACTGTATAATAACTCTTTGGTCTGAAGATAGTAGCGTCTTAACGATTAGTTACATTGTGAAGTTGAAAATAAGCGGTTCAGGTTCTGATATTCAAATCCATTTGCAAGTCTGTCTTGTACTTTGAGTGGATCTTTTACCTATAGGTGTTTTTCAGTATCATGTGTTTGGTCATTTGGAAAATAAGGAATCACTCAACTATTCCAAATATCAACACATGTTCATTCTCATTAAAAGGTCATATTTATTAATTTCATCATCAAGCTCATCCAAAAAAACCTGTAAATGTTAAGTAAATTATGTGTCCAAAATGCTAATATTAATTTGAAAGCTCAGAATCTTTCTTAGACAACAATACTCAATAATCTAGGTTTACTCATGTCATTTTCATGACAGTAAATGACTACAGATCTAGTCATAATAACCACGGTATATCAGTCATTTTTTTTAAGAAAACAAATGCTGCTTTAACTTGCAAATCAGTCTCACCCAGGCTTTGTCTTGAAAGAAATATCACATTTCAGTGAGCACCTGAGTGCTTTCTCCAAACTTCCCATTCTGATATGGACGATTAGAAGGACATTTATAAAGGGTCCAAATTTAAATAAAATTATAATCATTACCTCTTCATCAAGGATCAAGGACATTCTCAAATAAAAGTAGCATCATTTTTACTGCAAGATATGGCAGCCAAGGATTCCTGCTCCACCCTCAGCTCAGAGCGCTCCTTTCAACTGTGCTCAGTACTAGAAATCTTGCCGTCATATTTTCGCCATCTGGGCAAATGTCAACACAGTGCAAAAGGCAAACACTGTCTCGTTAAAAAAATGTGCAAGCCGCTGGGACTCTGTGAGCCCCAGGAAAGATTTCTGCACAGTTCACCCCCTGCTCAAAAGGTTTCAGTTGTTTATCACTGTCCACAGAGAGCTTAAAACAAAACAAAACAAAACAAAGCTTGGAATCTAAAGTTTACACAATCTTACATTAATTTATCTTTTCATCCCATGTGTGCCTTCAGCAACCTGGCTCTAGACCAGCGAAGTCATTGCTCTTCCTGTTATAAACCTTGGGAGTTTGCAGTTTCTTTCAATTTACCGTGCTATTTCCTTTGCTTGGTTCCTCATTTCTCATTTGTCAGCTCTGCCTTGTGTCAATGTCCAGCTCAAACAAGCCTCATGGGCAGCTCCCTTTCTGCATAAAGTAACACTTTGTACCTTTCCTGGCCACTTCTTTTCTACCTAGTATTAACGCTTCACCCCCTGAGTCTAGCAGTTAGCCCTCAGTAAATACTTGTTGGCTGTATTTTCGTTTTCTGTTTTGTTTATGCGTATGACTGGGGCAAAGGCCAGAGGTAAGAGAGGAGTGAGAGGATTCACCAGAAACAGAGTGAGGAGCGTAGCAGGTGGATGAACTGAAGCACACTGCTGAGGGGAGCAGGGAGACTGGAGAGGTCTGCTGGGCCTTGTGAGTCGGCTCCCTGGTGGGAGAATGGACTCAGGCCTCAGTGGTGATAGCGCTAAGACTTAACCCCTAGGCCACCAGGGAGGCCCCCAGTAAATCCAGAGTATTTGGTGACAAGTAGACATTCATTACATGTTGACTGCAGCTGCCATGAGATTGTTGACTGAAGTGAGGGTTAATGTCTTTGTTCCCTCAATAAAGTATTCCTTGTGAAACTTATTATGAAATTATTCATCTGACAATTTGATCTCATCGGCCAGTCTTCTCTACTTAACATTCCCAGACTTGTGTAAAGTTCTGCCAAACTAAAGCATTAAGATGCTGAAACTCTTTGAACTTTGTAGAAAGAGTATCGATTTTTCTAAACCTATGTCTGAAGGCTTGTTGAGGCAAAATTGCCATTGTTGTTTTCCTTGAACACTCGTAAGTTACTCAGAGTGAAAGAAGTACCTCCACTAAATATTCCCTCTCACTGTTTTCCTCTGACTTCAAAATTAAAAATTTCTATGGACTATAATGAAGTCACATAATTTGATTATGAAATGTCCATATTTCCATCAATTAGTGTGGATGCTTATTTAACCAAAGAATAAACTAAAAAAATTGGGCTTCCCTGGTGGTGCAGAGGTTAGTCTCATTATTACTGAACTTGCAACACAAGTTCGATTCCCAGGCAGGGCACAAAAGACCTCTCCTGTCTTACCTTCTGCTCCCCTCAGCAGTGTATTTCAGTAGATCTGCCGGTATATCCTCTCACCCCAACCCTCCATTTCTGACCAACACCCCAGTTCTTGTATGCACAAATAAATAAAAATAAATCTTTAATAAAGAAAAACTAGAAAAACCCTTATACAAAAAAAAAAAAAAACTATATATGCTGCCTATAAACTACATTGGAGACTAAAGTTGTCTTTGAAGGAGTATCAGAAAACCAGTTTCTTTGCATGAAAGCCCCTAAGAAAAAAATTGAATGTGAAAACAAAATGAGTTTTCGTTCTATTTCTCCATTATTGATCTCAATTTGGATAAATGAGTTTAGCAATCTCCTAAACAGTGACAATTTTCATTTTTCTATCAAAAGTATACTGAATAATTTGAGCGACGGTGAATTGTTGAATGAATCCAGTAACTGTCCACCCAAGAAGAGTGCATGTGCATGTTCTTGAAGGTCTTTACATAGTGTGGTATATTTTTCATCAGCCTATTCTATTTTCTCACATTAATTGATCTATATTCAATATAATTAAACTTTGCTGGGCTCTCAACTGGATTTGTGCAAGCATAGCTCCATCAATAGTTAAAAAACAAAACAAACAAACAAACAAAACCACTGTGGTCTTCCAGGGTATGTGAACTTCCAAGTGCTTTTGTTTATTATTTTATTTCCTTGAATGTTCTTTTATATTATAAATATTTTTATTATGCTTTGCCTAGTTGGGTACACCATGAATGACCTCATTTTTGAATGGCAAGATGAAGCACCTGTTCAAGTGGCAGAGGGACTCACTTTGCCTCAGTTTCTGTTGAAAGAAGAGAAAGATTTAAGATACTGCACTAAACATTACAACACAGGTAGGGGTGACTGTTCTTCATCACACTTCTGACAGTTTTATGATCTCCAGGTGTTTAGACGTGGTTTTATGATATTCAGGTGTTTCTTATGGTGCTAGGTTAATTCTTTTAACTATTTATAGCTCAGAGTTTTTCATGGAGAGCAGAAAATAAATGCAATTGAAACTTACAAATACTCTGACTCATTGCATATTCTAGAATTTGTTCGTATAGGGTCAAATAAATACTTGATGCTCAATTATATTTAATTTTTTAATTTTTTTTTATTTTTTGCAAAAGGTCCATCACTATATAGAAGTGAGATTTCCAAAAAAAGTCTCTTTTATTTCTAAGCAATAAAATATGTCTTAACCCTTCTAAAATGTACTTTTTAAAAAATATATATACTTTTTAAACATTACTTGCTAGCAAAGTATACTGAAGAGCCTTTTTATTACCTTAACACTTCATTTGCCTCAGCTTTTCTTTTGGTCACAGTTTCAGTGCATGTCAAGGTAGTGCTGTTTAAGCACCTGCTACTCATGCTCACATAGTTGCCCATTGCTTTGGAAGCAAGATACCAGATATCGTTCTTCACATCAAGGGTCGGTGGGCTTAGGTGACAGCTGACCATTCATGAGGAGTGTTCACTTCTTGCAGCTGTTGTGAGCTACCCCTATCCCCCCCACTAACGGCATTAGCTATTCCTACAAACCCTGCTACTGCCCGCAGTTGAGGCATCATGGCGCTGTGATTGATGCCTGTTCTCCCATCAACACCAGCTGCTGCTCTTAGCATTCCCCGACAGTCACTATGATTCCTCTTGGCCGCAACACTTTCCAGAACTATGCTTTGAACGTTCACTGCACAAGGTCACTTATCTCTTTTATCTCCTTAGTCAGTTCCCAATACCTGGTGAAAGTCATTGGCATTTCTTAGGTGAGTGGTGAGCCTGACTCCTAATTTAAGATGGAGTTCCAGGTGGACATCTCCACCCAGAGACAACGGGCCGGTGGGTCAACACCTTGTTCAAGGCTGTTTTGGCACTTGCAATAGTAAGCGACTTTTCTAGAAGGGCCAAGGAGGCTCTGATAATGGGTTAGGTGGTGGATCAGTTTCCTCAAGCTTCTGTCATGAAGTACCGGCTTGCTGCAACCTCGTCTCCCACTTACCTCCTGGCTCTGTAATCTGTCCACAGTGACTTCCCTTTACGTATGCACCAATTTTGTTCATCTCCAGGGCCTTTGTGCTTGCTCTTTCTTCCGTACATAAGCTTCTTCCCCAAATTATCCTAAAGTTAATGCTACAGCATTCTTCAAATACCTTCTCTCAAATACCAGTTGTTCAACATCTCTTGGTTATAAGCATAAATGAAGCCCTCAGATCTCACCCCTCTTTCACTGTCTGAAATTCTATCTTTAATTTATTTGTTTACTTACTGATATGTAGATTCTCTTCCCCTCTTATTTCATAAAGTCAAGGATTGGATCTACTCTCTTGGTTTCTGTATTTCTAGAATCTATTGAAATGTATAAGTGCGCAATACATATTTATTGAGTGCAATAAAAAATAAAAAATGGAAATGTTGTTGTCAAAGTGCCAGAAATAGTCAATGAGTAAGTCAGGTCTTTCTAGAACGTGTAGATACATTTATCTTCACATCCTGTCTACCTCAAAGGGAATTGGTGAAGTCAAGTGAAATAATAGATCTTTGAGTGCTTTGCCAAAGCTGAGGTATAGCCAAATGTAAAGCATAATGCTACCTACTATGTCCTGAAATAGTATACTTCATATTAAGCTGCTTCTAGATACTAGCAGAAAACTATTTTGGGGAGCCAGTTTGCACATATTGGCTTTTCTTTTTATCATAGTACAAAAGTTAAGGAACAAAATTATGAAAATAAAACTGTGATATTAGATGCCTTAGCGAACACCTGTTTTTACTAACCACTGCATTTATTTTCTAATCGCTTAGGAAAGTTCACATGTATAGAAGTGCGATTCCATCTTGAGCGACAAATGGGATACTATCTCATCCAGATGTACATCCCCAGTCTCCTGATTGTTATTCTGTCCTGGGTTTCATTCTGGATCAATATGGATGCTGCTCCGGCCAGGGTAGCTTTGGGAATAACCACTGTGCTTACCATGACCACACAGAGTTCAGGCTCGCGAGCTTCCTTACCAAAGGCAAGTGTACCAAGCCTTTCTACACATAGATTTGCACAAGTGTTTGCATGAATGCATGTCCTTAAAATATATATCATATTTAAGGTGTAATTATCAATTTTTGTTAGACCCTCTTCTGTAGCATATTATTCATTACCAAACTTCAAAGGAGTGTGTAACTACAGCAGGAAAAATGTGAAAACACAGAAATGGATGAAGAAAAATTCTACAAAGCAATATCCTCTCTTCACAGTTGAAATATCAGTAAAACTTATATGCCATAGACCTTTTTATCTATAAGTTTTTGAGGCTTTATGAATGACAAACATTTATATAAATTGAATTTATATAGTTCACTATTATTAACAGTATTCTACTACTTTGATGGATGCTTCAAAATTTACTAAATTACTTTACTACAAGCACTAACAGTAACTGTATTTATATACTAAAGATACTCAGTATACATAATGTACACTTAATATTAAATATAATATAGATGATGCATACACATATACACACATATATTTTGTGTTTATTTTCTCCTTATAAATTTTGAGGTCTGGAGTTACTGCACTGAGCACATTGAATGCATTGCCAGATTACCCTCCAGAAAAACTGATGGCAATTATGCTCCCACACATACCATGTGAACAGGTCCACTCACTGTTCCCTGCACCAGCTGCTAATGTATTATTTGTGTGTGTATGTGTTTTTTCTTCAAGCTTTCGGATAAACAAACATAAGTCAATAAAAAAAGGAGAGCTTATTTAACAACAGTATTAAAGTCTGAGCTACCAGAATTAAAATCAAATTCCTCTGTGAGGTTTGTAGAAGACTCAATATTTCTTTCCATAAAATATGCTGAAATGAAACATAGGAAGTTCTTTTCATCCCTTTAGCAGAAAAGTGATAGAAAATTATTTTCTTTGCCTAAATGACTTTGGGAAAAAGTATAGCTAGTTCTAAATTAAGAATTGAGTTGCGCTGTCTGTCTTCCAACAAGCTTCACTATTATTTCCATTGCAGTGTACTTCACTATAATAAAATTGTGTTTGCTCTTCTTATGCATATTTAGGCCACACCATGTATATTATAAACTCATTGTTATGGTTCTCTTAACTTTTACTAGAATTCATTTATTAGGCTAAAACAGCTAAATAAATAAAATGGATGGCAGGGTATTTCATCAGTAAAATGTCACTTAATATAGATAGAATTTGATATTTAAATAGGCTAAGTTTTCATGGCGGTTTGAAAACAAGATCTATTTTTATTAATGTTCAGTTGTACTTCAAAATGCTCCATATTAACTAGTGTTTTATAACATATTGCCCTAGTGAAAATTATAAATCTACTTATAGGATTAAGCTAATAAGCCTCAATGTTTATTTATATGTATATCACAACTCCAGGGCATTAAGTAATAGCTGAAGTTCCATAGTCAATTTGTAAAGGATATTGCCAATGCACTCATTAATTTTCTTCATGAACTGAACAGAAATGAAATCTCACTCATTTTGGGAGTTGTCAGTCAGGTCAGAAAATGCTCTATTTCAGGAAATTAAAGCTTCTCTGAAACACAGCCTGTGACATTTGGATCAAGAGATTAATACAGAGGTAGGGGAATAGGAGGTTTGAGTGGAGAAAGCAAAAATAAAATGTAGCAGTAAAATAAAAGAAAAAAACAGAATAGAGAAACAAGTATTTTCTATTTTTAAATAAAAAGGAAAAGAAGGTTTGAGTTTGGGATGGCTTCATTCTTTTTTCTCAAGAAATAGGAAAGAATGCTTTTTCAAGATATTGATTTCAACTTGATCTCACAAAAATAATAAATTTCAACCAATACTCCAACTATACATATAAATGTGAATTAACTCTATCCATATCTCAGATCATAGAGAGACTGTGATCACTGGAGATGTGATAAGAGATTTAATTCTGACACCCTCCCATACACAAATGTTTATCAAGGTCACTTCTGAAGAAGTGGGTGACACTATCATCTCAGGTTTTGCTGCTAGTAAGAAGTAAGAGGCTGAGTGTATTCAGGTATACACATTCTGAATGGACATGAGCATGCAGGAAGGTAGACACTGAAGACCCAGCACAGAGCACAAGAATTGACCAGTTGGATGAAATCATTCAAATGAATAGAAAAATCTCTTTAAAATGCAATTGTTACTCTATTTGAAAGGTTAGAAAAGCAAGAAGCAATGAAATGACCCACACTTGCACTGAGAAGCAGATGTTTTAAAACAATACCTTCAGATTTGCTATTCTGAACCTTCAGATGCCCGGAAGTCTTCCATTGTAAGATTCACTATTCTCCTATTGACAACATCTAGAAAAAAAAAATTATCTATAACTGTAATTTGGAAACCATGGGTTCTCGAAAGAATCAACTTTCAGGAATGCTGGGAAGATCTTGGAATACAGCAGTATTTTATATACCTTCCACTTTCTTCTCTGCTTTCAATTAATTCCTGGTAGAGTCCTGTGCTCATTCCTTTTATTCAGTCTGAGAGGGATCAGGAAAGGTCTGGTGCTTGTTTTCTGTTATTATCTGCAGGCCTACAAAACATGTCACCATGGGACGTTCCTGGTGGTGCAAGAGCTTAAGTCTCAGCACTGTGGAGCTATCAGCAGCCACTGCAGCATGAGTTCGAACCCTGGCCAGGGAGCTGACCCAGATGGTGCAGTAGACCTCTCCTGTCATGCCTGCTTCTCTGCTCGGCAGTATATTTCAGTAAATCCACCTGTTCTGCTCTTCAGTCTGTCTCTACTGGATCCTCTAAAGTTCCCCACCCCTGCACCTCTGGCCTACACCCCAACTTTGTATGCATAAATAAAATAAATCTTTAAAAATAAAAGTCACCATGGAAACCAAAGGTCTGTAGTGAAGGACTCTGGTTGCTTGGTGAGTGAAGTGACAGACATCTGAAGGGTTTGAACTGTCACCCCCATATCACAAACAGTGATGTTCACCAGTGTTATCTTAAAAAAAGAAAAAAAAGAAAAAAGAAAGGTTTTATCACACTAGAGACTTTTGAACATAGCATATTAGATGTATGCGTGCACAAGCACATACACAAACTTGGTGGGGTGAGAAAGCTCAAGACTTCAAGTTCATCTAAATCCTAGTTCTAAGCAAAGCTTAAGAGTCCTGGAGATATAAAAACTATGCCAATGCAATTAGATTACAATTTTCTGCACAACAAAATTTGCCCGAACCTCAATGGCTTATCACATTTATTCTTCCTCACGGCCCTTCTGGGTTTCTCTCAGCTGGGCTAGTCAGAGCACCCCATAGTATCTAGGCTGTGGGGTGAGGTCTACTCCAGAGGCCTCTCCCTTCTCCCTCAGAGTGCAGGCGCTGGCAGCAGCCCTCTCCCTGGAAGAGAGCAGAGTCAGGAAGGCCGCAGAAGCACCCAGCATCTTGCTCACTAACAGCCTCAGCCCTTCCGACCACATTCCCAAAGTCAGACCACCTGGGCTCACAGTCAATCAACAGTCCAGGGGGACTGCAGGAACTTCTGGAGAGGAGAAAGGATGGTCAGCACTGAATCTCATCTACCTCGAAGTCAGTGATTTCTTAAAATATGCTTTCTCCTTTTTAGACTAAATTCTGCCATAGTAGTAAATATTTAAGAAAACAAGGGGAAAAGAAGGGATGGAGGGAAGGAGAGAAGGAAGATTCTGTTCCATTCTATGTGGATGTCACCTCCTAAACTCTACCCTGGGGCTATTTCATTTAGCACCACTAAACTTTTAAAAAAGTGAGAGAGAAACACTTGAAATTTCAAAGGTAGCTATCAGTTTAGTATTTCACAGATGTTAAGGATCCCTTAGCCTATGAGAATTGCAAACTCTTCCTATCCTGAACAATTTCCTCACTTTTCCTTCCCGTTTGTCTGTGAAATCCATTTGGAGAAGCTTTTTGAGAGGACAGACTAGCTTTCTCCAAGTCTAAATCAGTAATCAGCACATAATACTATGTCTGTTTGCCTGTTGAGTAAATATAAAGCTTAAAGACAATAGGAACTTAGGACTTGTGTCTCAGTACTTAAGTCTTACCTTGAAAAGGAAGATTATATACAGAACATATGAACAATAAGATGTACAGCTTCTCAAAAAAACAGGAAGATTATGTCATTTTATTTCTGTCTGTATACAAAATATATAAACTCAGGTTAGCTGAATCTTTATACACATTGAAACATTTCTTCCCATGAGAATCACCAACTTAAAGAACAAGAATTTTAATACTGCATATGTCTTTACATAATAAAAACATTGCTCTTAGAAAACATCACAAAGACAGTTTTCAAATTAAAGTCTTATCCTTCATAAAAGATACCAGTGACCGGTGATTCCTCTCACCACCCCTGCACTTCTGGCCTGTACCCCAGTTCTGTATGCATAGATAAATAAATCTTTAAAAAAATAAAAAGATACCAGTGACCAAAATGATTGCAAATATTAGAAAATATAAATTGAGCTGCTTTATTTGGGCAATACTATGATTGTGCTGGCACATAAAAGTTTATATCTGAGATGATACTGAAGAGATGAGGTGGGAGTGAAGGAATTGTATTCATTATGTTGTTCGGATCTAATTGTCATCTTTTTAAAAAATACCCTTCAGTTTTCAGGGCTAGTGTGTTGTGGATGTCAACAGCAATGTAAATGAGGTGAGAGTCTGCATAGGAGTCAGATTTTCCTATTAGTATATTGATTAACAACAATGTCAGTAGTATTTTGATCCTCCTGATTTAAATACAATACTCTAATATCTATTCAAAATGCAGGGAACAAAAATTACTTCAGCTGAGTTCATACCAGTAGGACACAAGTGAGTTCATTTTTAATTTATTAGTGGGACAAAATATTTAATAAGTAAATTTAACTTCATAATGCATTATTTGCTATGAGCAATGTATTTTTTAATTTCATTGGGCTTATCAATGATTTGATTTCATATTACATTCACTTAAGGAAATGAAAAAAGAAAAGGGCACAGAAATGAGTCATGTATTCATATTCTTTTGATTAAAGATAGGTGCATATGAGTATCAACCAATTGTATGAGTCAGCAGAGAATTCCTAAACATCACTGGGGTGTCTACCTTTGATCTTGGAGATCTCATTACTAGACTAACTAGATGTTAGAATGCTGAAAATGAAGTTATCTACATACTCTCCTTAGTTGACAGAGACAGAACCTCTAGCTAAATTTTTAATTCTGACAGCATAATTGAGAAAAATTGGAGCCAAACTAAAATATTTTTAAATGACTCAGTACAGTGGCTTTAACATCAAAATAAATGTTAAAATAGAAAATATAAAGCAAATTAAACTTTGAGACAGTATTACCTAGATAATGTCTTATCATTCATGTACCACATACATTTCCTTTCTGGAATGAGAACTTGATTTCTCTGACAGAGAACAATTCATGTAAAAATTCCCCTTCACCCTTCACCTGTAGAAGAAAGAATTTGGTCCTAAAATCAGTGATTCAAAGCACCTGACAGGTTTCATCTGTCTTTGAGTCCTCTTTGAAGTCAGAAATGAAGGCCTTAGATCTCAGATTAAAAAGGAATACGAAGGTACATGGTTACAATAAAGATGATGTTATGGAATACAAAACCTCCAGTATAGAAATGTAGGGGGAAGAGAAGTCACCAAGGTAACTCCAGCTTAACTGAGTAGGTCAGAATGATTTGTTAAGAAGTGCCAGTAACTAACAACACCTAAGGAGGGATTTCCTGGGACATCAAGATTTTACAGTCTCATTGAAGTATTAAACTTGAATCATGAACTATGGAAGAAATAACTCTAAAACTCCCCTCCTGGAAGCAGAAACTGGAGACAACAGGTGACCTTTCAACATCTCTGGGCCTGGTCACTTCCACTGCTCTTATCTGATGACTGGAGGCTCTGGTCAAGGTCACCATTTTGGAAACAATGCAACCTTTTGTATAATCCTGTTGCATTTCATCTCTTAAACTAAAAGCCTTCACATGAAAGATGTTGTGTTCCATGGATTATTCCTTGACTAAAGATTATGAGGATTGAATGAAGTAGACAACACTCTTCCTGATATAGTTTTATAACAGGAGTCTAAGGTGAGAAAGTGAGAGACTCAATGAACAGCTGGTCTGTGTTCATCGAAGATACAGAAGGTCACAAATGCAAGGAAAGACTGAACAAGTGTTGCACACTGAAGAGTAAAGAGATGTAGCAACAACATAAAATTTTGGATTAAATCTTGGGATAGAAAAAACAAAGTGTTTTTGCTAAAAAGAGCATGATTGGAACAACTGGTGAAATGGGAATGTTATTTTGGGCTTAGATGGTAGGATTTTATCTATGGTAACTTTCTGATTGTGTTAAGTGTTGCTAGGATTTGTTTTAGAAAATGCACATAAATGTTTAGGGGAACAGGCCATCATGTATGCAAATTGTATGCAAATATTGCAGAAAAAAATATATAGCTCTAGATGTAGATGAAAATGATAGATGAGAGAGAAATGTTACTAAACTAGGGAACTTCGGCATTCTCTTAACCATTCTTGCAACAGGTAAAAATGACTTCAAAATATGAAAACATTTATAATAAAGAAATATTTCAGTGCTGCTCACACATTCAAATACTATGCTATACTGCCCTGGAGGTATGAAAAAAATATTTTAGGCAAAACATACATCTTACCATATGACCAACATACAAAACTTGCAAAGTTAATTTCAAAAATTTCTGATTTTTTTAAAGTGTCATTCCCTTCTTTTTTAGTTGATAGATGAATGGTAGAATTGAGATCAGACATCCAAAAATTTTGTTCTCAGTCAATATAACAATACATGTCAATTTGCTGATTCTTATCTTCTGTCTCATTTAGGTCTCATATGTCAAAGCTATTGACATTTGGATGGCAGTATGCCTCCTTTTTGTGTTTTCAGCCCTTCTGGAATATGCAGCTGTAAATTTTGTATCAAGACAACACAAAGAGCTTCTGAGATTTCGAAGAAAGAGAAAGAATAAAGTAAGCAATTTAGTCCATTGGGTTCCCGGGGACATTACTTGTCTATGCAGAGTCAGTGTTACCCAGGGAAGAAATGAGGACTGGCCATCAGTGGGCTGTCGCTTTGGTTCTGTCCATTTGAAAACTAAGTTATCCAAAATAGCTTCAGTGAGAAAGTGGTGACATCGTCCTATATTTTAGACAACTTGTCTGAACATGAAAGTTTTATAAACCTCTTTCTAATATAGTTTGTTGCTTCACCTAACAAAATAGAGACTTTCTTTCTTGCATCTTAAAGTGTTTCTGATCATTTTACTTTACATAAATCATCACATGGAACTTTTAAAGATGGAAGTTTTAAAGTTGTTTCTTTTTTGAACTAATTGTTTTCATGCTCTCTCTCAAATAGTACCTATTTGTTAATAATGTGATGCTTGGATAAAACGTGGCTTCTTTTTATGCATATTTTCATGTTTTCAAAACATGTCTTCTGAATCCTTGTGGGAAATGCAGTAAGATTTTTTGGCCTTGCTATCAAGGCCTTGCTATCAAGGCCAAAAAAGAAATGAAATGAAACCTCAAATAAATTTTATTTTACTTAGAATATCACAAAGAGACCACAGGAGGTTGTAGGCGTGGTCTCCTTTTTGGATCTAGAAGTACAGTAGGGTCCTTCTTCTAGTCATTTACAAGACCCTTCCTCTTTACATGTGTCTCATTTAATCAAGCTCTTTCCTCTTCTATAAGGGGGTTTATATTGACCATCATAACTAGTGGTTTACGGTTTTAAATGTAAATGAGCTAACTGATATTTGCAAAGCTATGAACTCAAGTGTTCAGGAAATATCAAAGTGTATAGAAGACAAATTGTGCCCAGGATCCAATACTGGGATACTTCTATTAAAACATACTCAAGTATTAAAAATAATAGTCTGGTATAGTGTGCATTTTTAAGAATTTTAGAAGGATTTCATTTTATAAGGGTTCCTATGGTTTCTGAATTCCTTAGTGATCTCTTAGTGATGAAACTACTAAGTTATCAACTTACTCTAAAAAATGTTTTGGAATCATCACCTGCTCCAAAAAAATACCCAGTTCACTGTAGCATGGAAGGAACGTCAGCATTTTGATACTCTGGTTAATACATTGCAAAGAAAACAATATTAGCATTTGCATTTGATCAAACAATTATGAATATAAAAATATATAATTTATACATTAAAACCATTCAATGGGAAAATTAACTTATGAATCAGTTAAGAAGGTCACATTGGTTTACTCTATGGCCTATGATTCAGAGTCATAGATCCACACCCCTGGGATGGAACTGATGACATCACGCCCATCACCAAGGCACCCAGAGTCCTTCACCATAGTCTCTTGTTCTTCTTTTTAAATTCCATTGAGTGACATTGGTTTACAACACTGTGGTGACTCAGAGGTCTAAGATCCCAGTTCCTCACACGGACGTCAGCACGCACATGCACCAGCAGCACGCCCAGAGTCCTCCGTCAAGGTCCAGAGTGCCTTTCCCCTCCTCAGACATCATCTCTTTGTTCTGGCCTCCTTACCTCACACGTTCTTCCTCATTCTCCCTTTATCTCTCTCCCCTCTCTCCATGCCCCCAACCCCCACTATCTTGCACTGGCTGAAACACTATAATAGGACAAATAATCTTTACCACAGAAGTGAAGCTCTAGTCTTTGTTGCCTATTAATGGCTGATAAAGACAATTTTTCTTCTGAATACAGTAAGTCAGAAGTAAAGCAATAATTTTTTTTCTTTAATTTCTGTACCTCTTCCCTCTTCCCTGTACAATTTAGAACATATTGGCTTTTTGCTACAAACACTAGAAATGAAAGGTTCATGCATATGATGCCCAAACAAGGTTAGAGCTCATAGCTCATCTTCTCCACCCCTCACAAGCCCAAATGTTCACAGTGGCCAACAGGCAATACAATAGACTAAGAATTTAAAGACTCTATTCTGGCTTCGCCTTTAAAAAAAAAATTAGCCTTACCAAAGTAATTCTTCAGTTTTACCATATGTAAGAACATTAAATTAAAAATATTTGACACTGCTTATTCTTTAGCTCACAGAAAGCAAGATCAGCTTTTCTAGTGATTGATGATCTAGAAAAATGCAGAAATATAAAAATAGTAATATCTTATTATTAGTGATTTATCTTGTTATTAGTGATTATTGTTAATCACTGGTTGAAATACTCAGGGAGCAAGTATTATAATTAAGATTTAGTGCAAGGGAAAAAAATCCAGGCTTTTATGAGTACACTTCATACTTTGGGGGTGGATGCCTTATGGGAAAATCTAATAATTTATATATATATGCATGTTAAAATGATATGTGTAATTAAAGCCAAATGTGCAATTATATTTAAACTATATAACTTGATTCTCTGGTTTCTCAACTCTCTTGGTCACTTTACCTTCCCACAGACAGAAGCTTTTGCATTGGAGAAGTTTTACCGTTTCTCAGACACGGTAAATTTACTTTCTTACCTCTCAGTAGAGGAGTGTGGCCATCAGTCACCAAAGCAGACAGCATAGTCTGTGCCAGGCAGTGTTTGGTGGGGAAACAGCCCCTTGTACATTTAAAGCCAAACAACCAGCATCTCCCTGCAGCTACGAAGGATACTTGCTTTTCTAATGATTTTGTCTTTCCTCACTCAGTAAAGGAATGTTTCAGTATTACCCTTCACCTCACTAAGTTGTTAACTGACTTTTGTAAAACTGTGTCTTCAATACATCTATCCCATTATATCTTCTAGTGGTCTCCATAAGACACAAAGATTTGTTTTGACAAAATTAGTTTCAGACTAAATAGGAAATTCATTTATACAATCAAATTCTGAAATCAGCACCTTGCTTAAAAATCAGGCAAAAATAAAAGCTTTATCAAGCCTAGGAGTCTTCAGAATGATCTGTTCTTAATATTAAATATGTTGAGGTTCTGGATGGCAAATGAATGATTGGTTTTGATAATGTCATCCTTTGAAATGCTCTGTTAAAAGGAAAGGGCAAGACACATTCACAAGTGTAATAGCTAAAACTTTAGAGGTGATCTGACTAGAATGTGTTAGTTGCTAGATTGGCGAGTCCTAAGCATAGCATTCAATGATGGAATATAAAGCACAGCACTATGAAGCTGGCCTCAGCCACTGCAGAACCAGTTCGATCCCAGCCATGGTGGTGACCCACCTGGCGCAGCAGACCTCTCCAGTCTTGCCTGCCCTCTCCTCAGCAGTGTCATCAATCTGCCCACTCTGTCTCTGGTGAATCCTTTTACTGACCCTGCAACCCTGGCCTGTACCCCAGTTCTGTATGCATTAGTAAATAAATCTTTTAAATTATATATAATCACTCAATTATTTTTTGCTACTCCTATCTGATCATCTTAGTGGTAACTATACAATTTCTAATTACACTGAATTTGTATATGCACAAACAAAAGTTTCTATTTAAATTTCCAGTAAGTGAACAATTAATGCTTATGAAATACTTTCAACTTTACACTACAATTTACAAAATTTACAATTTACATTTACAAAGCAATGCACAAAGAGCTCTCCTGAAAAATTAGTTTTATGTTACAGGCAATAAATACATATGTATTTAAAACAATATGTACATATGTATTTAAAACAATATGTACATATGTAGTTAAAACAATATGTAATGGTACAAATTTGGGGTTGATATTTTTGACATTTTGAAAATTATTTTCTCCACCTTAATAGCCCTCTGTGTCAATGGAATTCATCCTTTCTTAATAAAATTTGATTTTGCTTAGAACTGCTCTGTACAATCTAAATTTCAAATGGCCATAAGTGAAATGAGTCTTAATGTTGACCCAATGCCCTTTATTTTCAAAAGTACTCATTTCCATGAATTTTTCCTAGCCCTCTAATTAGGCAGAACAGGCAAAGTAAATAAAATAGTCTCATTATAGAAAGTTTGTCACAACAGGGCATAGGGGACCTTACACAGATATAAATATATTTTTTAGGAGTGTTTGAATTTGCTGCAACCTTAATTTAGACATTGTATACAAACTTTTATGCCTAACTCTACTTCCATCTCTTAGCTACCAAGGGACCTTTCATCTATTGTGAAAGAATGCAAGTTTGCTCTTTTACCTGTATTTCCCCACCCCACACTGTCATAGCTGCTGTGCTGGTCCCTGCGTAAGGCACTTGCTTATGCCTGCGCTGTGAATGTGGGTGTATGCATGGTCTGGACGCACTTTGCTAGAAGTTGTCTTCCCATGTGTGGTCTCTTTACTTTCATCCTGGAGGTTCATAGGGATATGTCAAAATATTTTTGAATATATGTTATTTCTAGTGCGATATGGATCTGGAATTTCCACTATGCATTTCACGAAGCATCTTCTGTATTACCATGTAATGAGGCAGTGGTTTGCTGAGAAAAAAAGACATTCACCAGTATTCTAATACAATCCTCTTCCTACTTGTTATTGTATAGTAATTATTAGTTGTCCACACAGATGAAGTGAGAATGGACCCTTAGTACTGGAGCAGAGAATGAATATCCATATCGACTTTGCTAGGCATGATGGCTCGTTTTAAATTAAAGATATCATTGACTGCATTTTGACTCTGTACAAAAACTTATAATGATCATATTTACTTATGTACTTGTATGCTGTCTTCACAAATAATTTAAGGTAACATCTAAAATTACAAATAACTGATTGTTCTGCCCTGTATTCTTTGTCAGCTCTAGAGTCTTAAGACATACAGATGTACATGCATATGATTTTGCTTTAAGGGATGGGACTCCCAGGAGGAAGCAGTGTAAGATCCACACACTCTATGTTATTTAATAAACTCTCCATTAAATCAGTTCTCACTATATTCTACAAGATCATATTCTCTTAGTAGCTAAGTATTTTCTACAAATTTCTGTGAATAATATTTGAGGAAATGTAGTTTCCCAGTCATCTCAATCTCAATTCTATTTGAATGACCCTGATATATAGGGGTTAGAAGTTATAATCTTGCTAGTAAAACAAAAATTGTAAGATTTTTACTATTTCCTGCAAACAAACGTTGACTATCAGCTATTTTAGAGTGATATCCCATGTAAAATACCTTGTTATGAAAATAATATTCAACATTCAATTACTTATGTAATCTCTAGTTACTCTAACTTCTGCCTCAATGGTGAACAAAGGTCACTTTGTTGTCAAGAGTTGACACTGAAAGATTCTAGCATAGTATATAGAAATAGATACATATTTTTTAAAAAAATTATTTCAAGACTAGCTCATCAAACCTCTGAAAATAAGGTTTTATAATTTTATATTTCATCTAAAACATTCCTCTTTTTAAGCTTACATCTTATCATTCAATAATCTCCAAAATGTTTCGGAATATACGTTTAATTTAATACAAAACAACATCATACATCATCTAAAGTAAATGCACAGTCAATCTGGTAACTAGATTTCGAAGAACTTTATATTGATGACCAGCTACCAGTGCTAACACATTTCTATGTCATCTCCAGCGACATTCTTTTACGGCTTCCATTTTTTAATGATACAGAATTGTATATAGATGCATTTATTTTATTTTAGGCTGATACTTATTTCAGAAAAACAAGTTTAATTAGTTTACTATTTCATCTTAGCTCAGAATTTTCTGTGATAGTGATTTTTAGCAACAAAAATAAACCCTTCCCATGTTTATCAATTTTTTTTTTCAAAATTCATATACTTTGTAGTCATTCATAAGTAGAAATTAATGGCAATTCATTTGCCCTTCCTCTCTACTTTCCTATCTTCTATAATTAAAATTATAGAAGATTATTTAAACAAAGAAAATCGTATAAAAATTTACTTAACATTTAATTGTATAAAGAAATACCTCAACTAGATTTACTAAAGTCGATGAAGTTGAAAATAATGTATTAAATATTGCTGTATCTCATGACAATTCACATCATCAGCCAGTCTGAGCTGCTTGCAGTCAGAGCTATGGTTCACGAGGAATTTCCATGTCTACCAAAACATGACTGTTTTGATCATTTTTGAGGACGGAAAGGATCAAAAAATTAATGCTTACCTTCTATGCATGTGAAGATGATCCATTTCCCTGTGATTTCTCACCACAGTCCTATGTGTGCTCTGTTCCTCCCCCTCTCACACTGCTCTGTACCCCAGATCTACAGTCAGCTTGCACAGTCTGTCTACAGTCTTTTTCCTGATCTTTTGTCCAGTTTCTTGATATTTATGGTGGTGGGAAAACTTAAGGGTTTACACGTGAGGGGTGAGACCAACATACAGTGGTATAAGAAGGCAAGTGTATTTATATGAAAAATGATGCAAGAAAATAACTTTAAGAATGTAAAAAAACAAAAAAGATGCAATCATTCCACTGAGTGATGTTCTCCACCCTTGATTTTTTTCTGTCTCTACTGTCTCAAGTTATAACTGGGGTATTACATGAATCAGATAAGCACTTGGAATGCTTCACAACATGGTAGTGATACTTAATGACTGAAACATTGTTCTCATTTCCAGTTAGTGAGAACAGGTCAACCTACAGGAAGAATTAAGTGCTAACTAAATAATACTTTGCATTTTCCATTGCTTGCCTTTCTCACTTGAAACGCATTATAAGGATTTTCTGTTGGGTAAATTAGCTGATTTCTACAATTTTACTGTTTTAACCAACCCTTTTCTTCAGCTCGTCCTGTTTGATCTTTCATGTTACCAATTTTTAAATTATTTTATTAAGGTAACATGGTTTTACCACATTCTAGATTCAGAAAATTAGTGATGCTCACCAAGGCACCACCATCTACAAGACCTCTCCTGTTTCCACACATGTCATGCACTGCTGTGGGACATTCCTGAGACATCTGTGTTGTTTCCTATCTCTAAACACAAGACTCCTTGTTTTCAGGAATTAGATTTACAAAGACTCCCTAGTCATATAGCAGAACTCACCTATTGTATTAACAAAACCCAGTGAGGCTTAGGGGGTCAAGTTGATGCTTTCAGCTTCATGCTGTCCGTTAACTACACGAAGCCACTTAGAAAGTCTCTTTAATAGATACCTTACTGCTAGTTTGGTTTCTTTGGATTGAAAGCTATCTGAAAATGAAATGACTCAAATTTTTTTAATAGTCCTCTTTCAAATTATATAATAGGTATGTTCTCTCATAATTCAATTATAGAAAAATACCAATAAATAGAAACAATTTTAATGTTTTAACAGGTTTTCTATGTTTTTCCCTCATCCTAAAAAATAAAAAACCTACCAGGAAATACAATTATCTTCTTTTTTAGAATAAGAAACCATGAATCTGCGGAGACAAGTAATTAAGGCAATTTAGAGTTCTGGTAATAAGTGATAGAGCCACAGGTTGTTTAACTATAAGACATTTGCATTTTGAATTTTAATTTGAGTCAGATTTTAACCTTGGACCATGTCATATATGTGTGACTGTATAAA